TGTGGCCTGGCTGAGCACATTCACTACAGACTTTTATGTCTTTGTTTAGACAGTTTTTCCTCATGTGGCTGTATGAGTAACAGGACATGCATTAGGGGATACTGGTGTATCTTTCATATTCAATATTTCAGGGTGGAATGGAAAACCAGAGTAGCCTTAGTCCGTTTTCTTTTATTTTGTCTACCATGGTCATGATTCGGAATCTGATTTTAACAATGTGGGCTTTTTTTTTCATTATGAAGACATTGTCTACCTTGGCAAAGGAGGCATTCCTCTCTATAGCAAGTTTCAGCTCTTCTCCTGTCTAGTCTAGAATTTCATTATCTACACATTTTAGAACTAGTCATCTTTGATCTCTTCTCAAGTGAGAGAACAGGGGTATGTCCATCGACAGTAAGGGCATTGAATGTGGTGTCTTCATACATGGATGCATTCATCTGTCTCTATGATAGCTATGTAGCTATCGCTGGAGTCGAGTAGCTTAACAATCTTGATATCATTTCTGCATAGGATCTGCAACAACTTTGTCCGTTTTTTTAGGGGGAGGCCCCCCTTCCACTTTGATTCTTACTTTCGGCATGTTGAGGTTTCTTACATGCTTTGATTTGACCTACGCCTGAGTCAAGAGTACCAAGTGATTACATCCCCCCCCCCCCACTGTGCTCTTGCTGCAACCGTAGGTCATAGGGGTGATCACGTGGCTTGCTCAGGAGACCCCAAGACGGGGACCTATCCCTTCCTCTACTCACTATAGTGGAGGCCTTATGGAGGACCTCAATTTCCCTATCCCTATTCTCGACCCTCCAGGACCACAGGGCAGGAGATCCCCCTGAGTGGCCTGGAATTGGAGCTTTGGTGTGGAAGATGTTCCACCATCTCCCACAGGCCCAGGTTGCACTAGAAGAGGATAAAAGATCGTGGGAGTAGTAGGTGTCGAAAGATCACCTTTGTTGCAAGGCACCCAAAACAGCTGTTGGTTTGATAGGCGCAGCTAGTTTTGATTACCTGCACTCCAAAGGAGCGACAAAGAGAGGGCGGAGACTCTCAGGTCTGGTCAAGTTCGAGGAATCCTCAGTGGCTTGACGGAACCTTCTGCAGAGTCTTCTTGTCAAAATCTCATTGGTGAGTGGTGGTGAGATATCTCAACCCCAGAGGTGAGACTTGTGTCAAGAGCAACGGGAGTGACTCTTCTGTCGAGAGCAGCAGGTGTGGATCGTGCTAAGCAGGTGACAATAATGTCGCCATTGCTAAGCAAGTGACAATGATGCCACTACGCTAAGCAGATGACGATATCGCCACGCTAAGAAGGTGACAGTGATTCCGTAAGGTAGGTGAAGTGTTGGTGTTCTGCTGCTTGCTCTGCTGATCGCTCTCGTTTATTCTCACTGCTGGGGTGATTTGGTTTGTCTGTGACTCTTGGTCCTCTAGCATTTGATGCACGGGCGACACTACTGTCGAACATCTTAGTTGATGGCAGGCCTGACGAGGAAGACGTCACAGAGAAGGTCGTCACAGGAGTTCGGGATTTTGACTCTCAAGGTAGAGGGAAGTCTTGCGCTCTATGAGTGGAGTCACAGACGTGTCCTGGCGTTGCTCTCTGCTTACCAGATGGTAGTTTACTGCGTCGTCGGCGAGGGTTGCTACAGATATGGTTACCCTCGACAGAGCATCGCCGGCCTCATTGTGTCGGATGTCGGTCGTAAACTGTGAAATGTAGTCCAGGTGGTGCTCTTCACAAGGGGGTTGGCGGCGGGTCCTACCAAAGGCACTGTACCGTGACTGGCGTTGCAACAGGGTTTGCGAAAAGAAGGCAGTAGGTTGCCATTGCATACCCTGATGATGGCAATGTTGGAGGCGTTGACCGCTATGCTGAGAGTAACCTCAGGCAGGGGATGGTTAAGCATGGTGGCAGAGGCTAGGGCTTTTTTGCAGGCTTCAAAGGCTTCGTTCGTCAGGGACATCCACTGGATTTGAGTGTTTCTGCTGGCCCTGTTAGGTGTGATCAGGGCGTGAAGGGGCTTGAGCTGGGCACACCTAGGGACGAACCTTCTGTAGAAATTGAACATGCCCAGGAATTTTTGCAGTCGTTTCTCAGTCGCTGGCCTGTAGAACTTCCTTATAGCAATAACTATCTGCGCTGGGGTGATGCCTTGGGGGGTGACAGTGGGGCCGAGGAAAGAGAGAGAAGAGACACCTAACTGTCATTTTCCCGGGTTGATAACGACGCCCGCTTCTTGCAGTCTGTTGAAGAGAGTGCGGGGATGGCGGGCGTAGTCTGCTTCTGGGGCGCTGGCGACGAGGATATCGTCGATGTTGGCGAAGACGCCCTCAAGGCCGCGAGTCACGTCATTGATGAAGCGTTGGAAGGTCTGAGCAGCGTTCCATAGACCGAAGGGCATCCTGAGAAATCTTGGGGATGTCCTCTTCGGCGATCAGGATCTGGTGGTACGCCCGCACGAGATTGATCCTTGAAAAGACCGAACAGCCAGACAGCTCATGGGAGAAGGAGTGCAGGTGTGGCAGGGAGCGGTGATTGTGTTGAGGTGTTGGTAGTCACCACACAAGCGCCACACCATCCTTCTTTTTCACCAGATGCAGAGGGGCTGCCCATTGGCTGCTGGAAGGCTGTATGATCCCTAACTGCATCATGGGGTTGAACTCCGCCCTGGCGCTGTGACATCTGTCGGGGACCGTGAGTCATGATGTGGTGCCGTACCTTATGTCATGGTTGGGTGGCCTGGTTATGTGGATGAGAGCCTTACTTTGGAGATCGCCCATCAAACCATAGTGCGCTAAGAAGTCGGCGCCGATGATAGGTTGAGGGAGGTCGGTGACGAGGAAGATCCAATGAAGTCACTGGCTGGGCTCACCTTTTAGCGAGAGGGTTTTCGAGCGCTCGCCGTCGTGTTGGCGGAATTCCATCGTCACGGCAGAAGTGGCAGCAGCTGTGGCAGACACTGTTGTTATTGTGGGTGTCTTGGCTGTGATCATTGCATCCGCTCCTAAGGCTAGTTACTGCAACGGGAGGTCTGACACCAGTAGGATTTATTGGATATCAGCAGGTAGCCGTTTGAAGAAGAGGGAGGGCAGTACGTCTGATGGAAAAGTCGTCCCAGTGTGGTTGAGGAGGCGCTGAAGGTGTTGAAAGATTTCCGTAGGTGTGCATCTGTCTGTGTTTTCAGACGAGAGGAAAGAGCTCAAGATGGTTACGAGATTAGGCGCAGAGCGTCTGAGAATGGTCTCCTTAAATTCGTATGTGGCGAATCATGGATCATTCAGGAAGTCGCCGACGGTCAAAAGGAGTTTGGGTGGGAGGTTGGTGACCAGCATGCGGAATTAGATTGTTCCTGAGGAGGAATTCCTGTTCCACTTGGAAAAATCATTCCAGCAGGCTGGTTAGAGAGCATATTGGTAGTGACCTCTATGTGGCTGACATTGTGAAGAAGCTCCGACGGTCACCAGTGTAGAGGGTGTAAAAACCAAACTGGATTTTATCTCTTTATTTGTCAGGCGACCAAGCAGACATGTCAGGTCCACAAGCGAGAGGTGAATAATGATTTCACCTAAGGTCCGGTGGCTTAAGTTAGCTCGGCCGGTTTGGGCGGTTCCACGGCGGGAGTCGGCCAATCGCGAGTCAGGTGCGGTCCTACCTTGACTGTCAATTAGGAGCCGCTACACAAGACGGAATGGCATCCGAGAAATGGTCTTGAAAAGAGAGATCAGGAAAGAATGGTGCAAGTATGGCAGGAAATCAGATTTGGTTTTCAGATATTGGAAATAAGACGTAAAATAGAAAAAAACAACACAATCAAGGAAATGATCTTGTTAGACATATTGTTTGAAAATCCAGAACAATTAGACGAAGAGATGGCATTGCTTGAAGTAAAAATGCTTATTAGGACTTCAGTGAATCTAGATCCTGTCATTTTAAGGTCCTACGACAGGAACAAGTGGACAATGTTACCAAATTGTTGATGAACTAATACACTATGTGAAAACTGACTATATTATGGACATAAATCAATCTGAATTTAGCAGGAGCAAGACTGGTGATAAACATTCTATACACACAAAAAATAAGAATACAAAACAAGAACCATAATGGCAAAGAAGATTAACAGACAAGATTGGAAAAAAACAGGAAAGATATCAGTATTTTACAACAGTGGTAGAAACAAAATCTGAAAAAGGAAGAAAATAAAAACGACTAGAACCGATATACCATGTTAGGAATAGGGTATTCCTAGGGGTCTAAAGAATCAAAACTGAGGGTCAAAGCTACCAGTGTAAGAATTAGAAAATATAAAGAGAATTGTGTCACACACAGGATAGAATGTTTTAGTACAATTTGTGAAGATTGTTTGGAAGACTGGATGAAAAAGAGACTGGAAGTGAAGCAAAAACAGATGCAAAACACGTGTACAAGAATGTAGAATGGTGAAAGAGTTCTCCTTGGATGCAAAACCAACACTGACTTTGCTTTTGTGCCGAGTTTCTGTTACGTTTTTACATGCTTGTCTCGTTCTGAAGCGAATCCAAAGTCCCCAACAGACATAGAATAAAGAAATTTCCTCAGAATAATATGGTAACCTTTATGCTTTGTCTCTTTTAATGTGTTTGGTGTCTTATCATAACCCCAGTTACTTTCTTTTGTAAAACTGGACGAAATTAAATTTGTTGTATCAGGTATAAAGCCTTCTGCTTAGTTGTCATAAGAGTGAATCCCATGCCCTCAGTTCACATTTACTATTCTTAGTTTATACACTTTGGTTCTTTTCTTTGATCAGTAGACCAAGTCACAAAGATGTGTCTGAGAGTGGCTTCAGGTTCCTCATTGTAGTCCTACATGTATACAGTGATATTGTTATTGTTGATATCAATATCACCTTTAATGTCTTTTATTATTATAGTTTATGATTTATATCATAGTTCCTATTTTCCAGTCGTCGATATCGACATTGCAAGAATAATCTTTCACACGAAGGAAATGAAAATTCCTCAAAGGTGACAAGAACATGTAATTTCTATAAAACCTGTAACCCAGCAACAGATCGGAGCCCCTAAGCGCCCCCGCCGGTGGTCGCTTGTCTAGAGCGTCCTGAGGTGGTCGCAGTGGCTCTTGTCGGAAGTGTCGGACACGGCCACGCGGCACAGGAGCGTTTGCTTGCATTCTTCGTCGCACCCCTCCTGGCGGTAAGGGCGCGCATCCTTCGTGTAGTACCTGCGGGAGAGGAGAAAGGCGAAGGAGCAGAGCGGCGGGAGACGGCGAAGGCGGGATCTCTCATGCGATAGACAGCGATGAGATACATAGGAATGGCCTTAATGGCGAGGGTGGTCGGGCCAATGGAAATAACAGGAATGGTGATGAAAAATCGTAAAATTAGTAATGATGATAACGACGATTGATATGATTATCACGATAATTGAAATGATATCATGATATTAACTGTATAATCCAAATATTACTAATATAATATAATGATTTATATAATGACCATGATTAAAGTCGGTAATGATGATGGTGATAATAATGATAATAGTTATGATAACAATGATAATTATTCTTTGAACACGTAAAGTAATATGCTATTACTATTTCTATTTACACCACTACTAGGAATGATTATGATGATAATAAGGATAAGAATAACAAAAAATAATAGTACTAATAATAATAATTATGATAATGATAGTATTTATAATATTAATAATGATAATAAGTTATCCTGCTAACCAACCAACCAACAAACTAACCAACGCTACCAAAAATATAACCTTGGGCTGAGTATTTTGAGCAATTTTACCAGGTTAATACACCAACAGTTAACTTGGATGCGGGTAGTGCCGAGATTCCATTGCCGGACCCACTTATCAGTTGATTCCTAACTGAAGATATCCAAGCTGAAGAGTAGGTATTTGCGGCAGAGGCATAATGGCCCAGGGTATAGCGGTGCTAAGGCGGCCTGCGGACTGAGTGTGCTGTAGTGTGCGTATTAGGATCCACCCTCCCTAACTGAAGTTAGGGGGGTGATATCCAAGCTGAAGAGTGGCAAAGCAGCAGGTATTTGCGCATCCCTCTGAACTATTAAATGTCTGACACGTGGGGTGTGGCTGCTGTACCGTCCCTCCTGACCTGTTGAGGAGTGTGGTCATCCCTCTCTGGAAGGGAAAGGGGGACCGATAGGACTGCAGCCACCACCGAGACATCACACTGCTCTGCATACCAGGCAAGGTTCTTGCCCATATCCTTCTGAGACGTATCAGAGGCCAGAGCAATCTGGATTCACTCCTGGTATGTCCAATATTGGGGGCTTACCAGGAGTGAAGTGACACTTCGAGTTATTGTAGATCGCCGTCGTGAGTTCGGGCGTGGGCTGCTTGCAGCCTACATCGACCTTAAGAAAGCGTTTGATACGGTGCATCGTGAATCACTCTGGGAGATCCTGAGAGTAAGAGGAATTCCAGCAAGGATTACTGGACTAATAGCAAGCCTTATACTGGCACTGAAAGTGCTGTAAAGTGTGTGTTGGTTGGGGGGGGGGGGCTGTCGAGCTTCTTTCCTGTTAGTTCAGGAGTGCAGCAAGGCTGTGTCCTTGCACCAACAGTTTTCAACAGTTGCATGGACTGGATACTGGGCAGAGCTACTGTTCAAAGTCATTATGGAATAACTCTGGGCAATATCAAGGTTACAGACCATGACTTTGCTAATGATGTTGCTATTCTATCTGAGTCTTTGGAAACCTCAGCGGTGGTTCTGGCTGCATTTAGTAATGAAGTAAAGCCCCTTGAGCCTAGAGGTCTCCTGGACCAAGACCAAGATCCAGGACTTTGGGGACTTGGAGAACCTGTTTGGTCGGGACGTACATGCGGTGAGGACACTGAAGTCACAGAGAACATTACATACCTTGGTAGTGTAGTTCATAACTCTGGGCTGTCAGACCATGAAGTCAGCAGATGGATTGGCCTGGCAACAGGGGTCAGGTATTGGAGATGCCGGTACCTATGCAGGACTAAGCTACGCGTTTTCAAGGCCCTGATAATGCCAGTTTTGCTATATGGTGGTGAAATCTGGACATTATCATGTGTATTGGAATGTTGTCTTAATGCCTTCTGTAATAGGTCCTTGCGTTGGATCATGGGGTACAGTTGGCAGGACCACGTGTCCAACCAACGGTTGCACCATGAGACTGGCACAGGACCTGTTACTTTCACAATCCTTGATTGCCAATTCATGCTATTTGGTTACCTGCCTCGCTTTCCACAGAATGATCCTGCCCACCAGGTTGTCTTTGTATGAGACAACCCCGGGTGGAGGAAGCCTGTGGGATGACCTTGAAAGTCATGGCTTGGGCAGATCGATCAAACCTGCCGTGAGAAGCTCGAGATAAGCCGAGTCCCTGCCTGGCGGCTTGCCATGAGGGACCCCCGAAGGTGGAAACAAGGGTGGATGTGGCTATGCACCCCCATCGGCGTTAGCTTCATGATGGTGGTGATTGGCGGAGGTAAAAAGAATAACACTAATAATGATAATGTGAAGAATTTGTGATGATTTGATAATAAAGTAATGGTAATAACAATAACAATATTGATGATTATTATAAGGATAAAAGTAATGGTAATATTGATGATTATTATAATAGTAATTATGATAATAATGGTAATAATAATAATAATGATAATGATAATGATAATTACAATAATGATCATTATAATAATACGAATGATAATGATAGCAGCAGCAACAACAATATAAACAACAGTGATACTGATAACAATAATGATAATAGTAATAACTAGAAGCGCTTAGAGTGCGCATACCTCTGCCAAGGCAAAAAAGATACTAATACGATCATTTAAAAAAATCTTAGATCCGGTTTATCATCAAAATTTATTGGAATCGGAATTGAGCGAAAGCACAGCTCTGGTTGGAAATCTATAAGCTTTTGAGTTATCCTGCAGCCCAACGAACAAACAAACTAAAAATGTTATAATCATCATTATCATCACTTTAATTATCATGCAATTATTCATTCGTGTAACTATTATTATTATTGCTATTATTGTTATTAGTGTTAGTAGTAGTATTATCATCACTGTCATTATTATCATCATTATTATATTGATAATCAAAATTATAATTATGATAATGATTATAAAGATAATAATGACAATAATAATGATAATGATGATGATGATATAATAATAATAACAATAACAATAACAACAACAGCAAAACAGCAACATCAACAACAAAAACAACAATAATAATAATAATAATGATATTAACAATAATGATGATAGTGATAATGATAATAACAATAACAACAATAAATGTAATAGAGATAACACTAAAATAATATTAGTAATAATAATGATAGTGATAAGGATAGTAGTGATGATAGATATAAGAGTAATAATAATAATAATAATAATAATAATAATAATAATAATAATAATAATAAATAATAATAATAATAATAATAATAATAATAATAATAATGATAATTATAATAAGAATGATAATGATGATGATAATGGTAATGATAATGATAATAATAATAATAATAATGTTAACAATAATAATGATGATGATAATGATGAGAATCATAATAACTGTAATAATAATAACAAAAATGATTGTGATAATCATAATTACCCTGACAATCATGGTAATGATGATGATAATAATGATTTTAATGAATGATAATGGTAATAATAAAAAAAAACTATAATAATCTTCATGATAATAGTAATGATAATATAGGCAATAAATATGATAACAAAAAATGACTATCATTACTCTTGTCATGGTCATTATTCTTATGATTATAATAATAATTATGACAATAATAATGATAATGATGATAATAATGAACATGATGATACGACTACTAATACTAATGTTGATAATGATAACGATAATGATAATAATGATGATGATAATAATAACAGTAATAACAATAATGATAATGATAATAATGGTAACAACACCAAAAGGGGCGCATAGACGCACCCATCCACGGGGGTCCTTCATGCCGCCAGGCAGGGACTCGGCCCATCTAAAACTCTTCACGACAGGTTTGATCGATATGCCCAGCCCATGACTTCCTAGGTCATCCCACAGGACTCGTCCATCCAAGATTGTCTCACACAGAGAACCTGATTGGCAGGATCATCCTGTGAGAAACGAACCAGCTGGCCATATAGCCTGAGATGGCGATCACAGATTGTGCAAGTAATATGTCCTGTGCTAGTCTCACAGTTCAACCACTGGTTGGACAAGTGGCCTTGACAGCAGTACCCCATGATCTGGCGCAAGTACCTATTACAAAAGGCATCAAGACGAGACTACAATGCACAGGTTTCATTACCGCACAGTAAAACTGGCATTATCAGGGCCTTGAAAATACGTAGCATGGTCCTTCTACACAGGTACTGGCATTTCTAAATACTCTTGTTGAGAGAATTAATGACCCCTGCTGCCAGGCCACTCCGTCTACTGATTTCCTGGTCTGACACCCCAGAGTTACGAACTACACTATCAAGGTACATAAAGCTCCCTGTGACTTCAGTGCCCTAGCCGCAAGCATGTATTGACCAAACAGGTTCTAGCAAGTTCTCCAATGTATTGGATCTTGGTGTTGGTCCAAAAGACCTCTAGATCCATGGGCTTTGCTTCATTGCTAAATGCATCCAGAGCCACAACTAGGGTTTCCAAGACTTTCGAATATAGAATAGCAACATCATCAGCAAAGTCAAGGTCGGTAACCTTGATATTGCCCAAAGTTACTCAACAATGGCTTTGGACAGTAGCTTTTCCCAATAGCCAGTCCATGCAAGTGCTGAAAAGTGTTGGTGCAAGAACACAGCCTTGCCTCACACTTGAATTAACAGGAAAGAAGCTCGACAGGCCCCCATCACACTTTACAGCACTTTCAGTACCAGTATACAGGCTTGCTATTAGTCCAATAATCCTTGTTGGAATTACTCTCAATTTCAGGATCTCCCAGTGATTCCCAATGTACTGTAATGAACTCTTTCTTAAGGTCGATGTAATCTACGAGCAGCCCATGCCCGAACTCATGTTGGTGCTCTATAAGGACTCAAAGCGCCAGCATACAATCTATTTTGGACCTCTCAGGAGTGAAACCAGATTGCTCTGGCCTCTGGTGCCTCAGTAGGTGGTCTCTGATATGAACCTTGCCTAGTATACTGAGCAGTGTGATGCCTTGGTAGTTGCTGCAGTCCCATTGATCCCCTTTTCTCTTCCAGAGAGGGATGGCCACTCCCCGAAACGGATCAGGAGAAACAGTACTAGACCGCTAGATGGCAGCCAGGAGAGCTTCAAGCCATAGGTTCATCAACAGCCTTTTACAATTCAGCTGGAATGCCGCAAATACCCACTGCTGTGCCACTCTTCAGCTTGGAGATCGCCCCCTGACTTTGGTTAGGGAAGGCAGATCCTCACTGATGGGTGGGTCTGGCAGTGGAATATCGACTCTACCCGCATCCAAGTTAACTGTTGGTGGTACAACTGCTCAAAATACTCTGGCCACCTACTGAGCAGGCTGCAGTCACCTGTAAAGAGGGCTTGGAGTTCAGGACGAAGGTCATATACTAAGAAATGGCTTTCGACCTCCTCTGCATGACCAAATATACTATTCATTGTCTTTTCTCAGCAGTGGCTGAATGCAACTCCCAATTCCCTGGCAGACAGACTTCTGTGGCTTTCAGTGTCTCCTGTGAGATAAAATTTTGCAATGCTCTTGGGCATTTACCTGTTGATTCTTGAGCTTCATCGAGCATTTCATGCTTGAAGATGGCCCGCAGGGTTCGTCAGATTGTCGAATGCTGTGATATGACTAGAGATTGCCTTAGGAAACACCCAGCACGCTCCTTCCCTCAGCCTGTCCAGATGAAACACCTTAGGGTGGTCATTGGACTGATGGGGAGTTTTGAAGTGGAACCGGAGGGTTAGCACAACTAGTCTATGGTCAGTCCTACAGAACTCGGCACTCATACACACCCGCACTTTTAGAGGATCCTCCAATGAATGCTAATGAGGATTTGGTTGATCTTGGCTGCATTACTCACATCGCTGTACCATGCCCATCGATGAGGGTTAGAGCTTTCTGGGATCCAAACCACAGGGATCAACAGACATCTCATAGCCAGGTATCGCCCAATACAAATATCTTGCAATGACAACTGTTCGGTGCAGAAGCAAGTTTGGCATAAAACGTCTCTATTGCTTGAGTTTCAAATGCAAGCTTCAGTCTCAATACCATTATACACTCATCGACTGGAGTAACCTCTACCACCGAGGGCTGAAGTCTGTTGGAGATGACTATGGCTACTCCCTGAAGATG